CTAATCCGTGGTCGCTGCTTGGAAAACCGGACGATCGATTCTTATCGGGCCGATTTCAATTGGGAAACGCGAGAAACGTGAAAGCTCGTTCTGGCGGCGGCGAGGGAATAAAGCGTTGGCCAGCTACTGCCGGGAGAAAATTCGAAAGCAACCAGTCGTGAAAACCTGTTCGGCCGAGTCATCGGTGGTAGCCGCGCGCGTCGCCTTTCGTCTCGGCCGCTTGCGAGGATCGTGTAAACTCATATCCTCGTAGAGGGCCGAGCGACGATTGCTAACTTGGAAAATTCCTAGTAGGCCCTAGTAGGCAGCAGCACCGCCATCGATCGATCTCGTCGACTCGACCGTCGTATTTCCTTCGCTCGAGAAGCATTGCGTTAGTACAGACACTGCGATCCCACGAACCAAAGACGTCACGAAGCACGATTGTTTCGATTGTACGCGTCCGTCACAGAACAGAGCAAAAATCACCAAATACGCAGACGTTCACGCTCGGAGGGGCGAGGAGAGAGGAGGAAAGGGTGGGGGAGGGGCGGCGCGATCGCGGTAACCGTGCTTTTTTTCTTCCGCCTCAGGTCACCGCGAACGCGTCGCGATCCTTTCTCCGAGCGTAATCGTTACCCTTCGCCATACACCCTTAAACGCGTTATCGATCGACGAAACGGCTCGGACGAGCAAGTGTTCACCCGTGTTCACCCGTGTTCACCCGTGACATTTTCGAGACCTCGATCGATAGTTGGCGAAAGAAAGTAAGGTGAAAAAGGTGGTCGAGGAGCCGGTTCGTCGTCGACGAGAACAGTTACGATTACACGAGCGTAACGGGCGTTAGCGTGTTCTCGTATAGCGATGTAGTTTTCGACACTTACTTTGGAGTTTGTGACGTGGTCGGCCGGAACTGATTCTGGAACGGTTTGCAGAGTGCTCCGCATACTAGCGGACATTGTAGGCCAGCCAGTTTCACTGCCTCAAACCCTCCAACGCTTCGACGATGCACCCTCTCCCCTTACGCCTGAAACAGAGAACGTTCACGCTCCTTAGAATCCTTCTCTCTTCCTTCCACGCGTTTACGCGTCGCTGCGCTCTCGAACGCATCCGGCGAAACGATTCATCCTTCGGTTAGGATTCTTACGGTTTTACCATCCAACGAGGACACGGACCTATACAGGTGGGCGAGCGAGAGTGAATCATACCTCGCTGCCGGCCAATTTCGGCTTGTCTGGCCCGCGATAAAACGGCAAAGAGAAAACGATTAAATAGCGTCGTTCCCCGGCTTTTGCAAAAGACATCTCGATCTAGTCGCGCGAGGCGACGCGGAGGCAGCAGCGGAAAAACAGGAGTAGGAATAGCGGGACACTCTACAGTGTACATATGTCGGCGAGGAAGGAAGGAAGGAAGGAAGGAAGGAAGGAAGGACGAGATTTTGTAAGGTTCGCCGCAAGCCATCAAGTGAGAGGATCGACACACTTCCGCCTTTGGTCGACCGCCTTACGACACGAAAGCCACAGGCAGACAGGTCGACGGTATAAAATAATAAGGACATGCAGCGTAAGAAGGAGAAACTCGGTCGCCTGGTTCGCTCTCTCTCTCCGGTCCTGGATCCTGAATTTTCATCGGCCGAACGAACCGCGCCGCTCGGATTGCACAAGAAACGGTTCCAACGACGCGTATAATTGAGCGTCGATCCATCGACGGACCGCTGCTCGCTCGACTCTGGCCGGCCAAACAAACAGGTGTTTCGAATACACTTTTATTCGGCCGGCATCTGCGAGGCATCCTCGACTAATTATAGCGTCCGCGCGAACATCAATGACGCGGGTGGCCGTGGCTGCGTTTCATCCAACGGCGAAACATTCGAAAAGAGTCGGAGTCGGGCGAAATTAGGTCCTAGACCGTCCCTAAGAACTGGGTCAACGGTACGCGTGCGGCTAACACGGGAGCTGGCAGGCAACTCCCGAACCTAACCCAGACCCCGCTACTATTTGCGTAAGGTCTTTACACGCGAACTTAGCGCCGCGGATCTCCAACGTCTAACGAGGAAGCGGTTTACGTTCCACCGAGTCGGAAGAACGCGCGGCGCCTAGCCCCTTTCCTACCCCGCCGCTCTCCTTCCACCAATTACCAAGAAAGTTTCCCGTTTCTTTTGCCTTACCTTACCTTAACTGCTACCGCGCTAGCCACCGACCAACGCTATTACATAAACTCGCGAACCAGGGTTCCATAATGCAATCCAAGAATAAATCGTTGGCTAACGAGAAACGACCAACGCTCTCTGACCGTGCCTTCCTTCTCGACGTATCCAGAAAAGAACGAGCAAACCAGAGCGTGTTTACCTTTCGACGAGCGCATCGTTCCGAGAACAATGCTCCAGGTAAACGTAACCGATTCGATTCCATTCGATTCGATTCCATTCGATTCGATTCTCGACCCTTGGTGAAAAACAGAATGGACGAACGATTGGCGCGAGTGATTCGATTCGATTCCATTCCATTCGATTCGATTCTCGACCCTTGGTGAAAAACAGAATGGACGAACGATTGGCGCGAGTGACCGATAACGCCGATGTTATCTCGAGGGAGGTCAGTAGCACCGAGAAGCGCGAGTGACCCTTCAAAGTAGGCATTTCGGTGGACGGTACAATTCCCTTTTCGACGTATGTAGTACGCGAACCAGTAAGAACACACTTTCCCCCGAAACGTGTTCGTGACAGAGCGACGAAGAAAATGTAGGGTTAGGACGACTAATGTGGACGCGAGCGCGAGCGCGAGCGCGACACCGACAACGAAAATACGAGGGGAAGCCGGGTGGGGGGAGGAAGCCTTTTCGGAGTTCGCAGCCAAATCGGAGGTAGACGGTTGAGCGACGGAGAGACCAAAGAGAGAGGAGAAACTGCTCCTCGCGACGTGCTCGGCCGGCAAGGCGACCCCTTCCCTTCGAGCCTGATTTTTTGGGTACTTACCACGCTTACGTTTACGCTTACGCTTACGCGAACGTGCAGGTAAGGAGAACGATCATACTGGAAATGGTGCGCGTGAGCGCAGCTACGTACACGAATAAAACCCACACCCACTTGTACTGCTAGCTAGGACGCAACCCGCTCGAGGGTATACGTATGCGTATCACTTGTGGTGTCCGTTAAGGTTAAGATACGTACGCGAGCAGATGCATATACACGAGAGAGCAGCAGCACGCGGCGTTTATCTAAGGTAAAGTCTCTCGGCGTCGATGTCGAGATGCGAGGTGCGCGACGAGGACAGCGGTGGCGGCACCAGCACTCTAACCAACGGCAGAGTAACAGCACCAGCGATTCAAAGGCTGCTCTGCCGCGTGCAGCGACGATTTCAAGCCTCGTCTGCCCCGTGTAACGAGTCTCCGATCTGGGATCGGCGACGAACGCGAGAAACACACCCGGGAAACGGTGGTGATCGCGTACCTCGGTGGCCGCACATCGGTACTCGCTCGTGTGTGAAGTTGCGAGCGCGCTCGCTCTCTCTCTTTCTCTCTTCTCTTCTCTCCTCTTCTTCTTTCCACTCCGCTCCTGCCCTCTTCTTTTCTTTCTCTCCTTTCCGCTACGCCTCCTTTCCTCTCCCTTGCTCTCCGTGTATCCCTCTCGCACGCGCGCGCGCGCGCATCCACTCACTCTCTCTCTCTACACGTATATGTCTATCGCCCTCGCTCCTTCTCTGTCGCTCTCTTTGGGTGTCCGTCAGTAACCTAGAAAGCGGTGGCGGCGGCCATTCAGGATTACGGGACTCCGTCCGTACGTCCGCCTTGTCCGAGCGATCGAGCGAGAGCCACCGACAAAGTACAAACTATGTCTCGTTCCGGCCACGATATTACCAACAAATATTTTCCTCCATGCACCGACCCCGTTTTCTATGGGACCGCGGTGGCGGTGACGGCGACGGCGACGGCGACGACGTCGAATCCGATGATTTTCACGCCGCGAACGCGTACGCGTAAGCGATCACGCACACGTATCTTCGTATTCGACGTTCAACGGCTCGATGACGCGACGACGTCGCGTTACTCGTGACGATATCACGGAAACGCAATTCCGGCCGCGTGATTCACCTTAAAATCGCCTACAAACTATCCACAAATATGACACTGTACTCCTTGGACGCACGCACTACTAGCTAGCCGCGATCTTGCTCGAGAGAGAGCACCTTCGCCACGACAGATCGGCGAGAGCACTACACGGACCTATGGGTGTGCTTCTTTCGTCAGCGTTCTCACGTTTCGATCGAGACGCGCGCGCGTTACAAGTAAAACCAAACGACTCTTGAATCGAACGGCTTCAATACAACAGATATTTACCCATTTGTGACAGATTTTCCGTACGAGACGCACCACATTAACGACCGTCCCCCACCTATTACCACATACAGACATTACCACACTTCGATTTTTCAAGATGGCGACGCACCGTCGTCGGGCCGAAACACGATGCGGATGAGCCGTAAAGTCGCGGCGCTGCGGTCGCGCCAATCACCGACATTCCCCACCGACCAATCACCTTCTTACCCGCCAACTTATAAATCAACCAACTACGTCGCACCGTATTTGTGACGCGTGTACGTACGTACGAGTACGAATACGCCTGAGATGATTTTTTTTCGAGAATTGGTTCGTTGCGAATAAAGGAGATGTTTGTAGGAAAGATACGACGTTTGGCTAGTTTTCTACGAATATTATTCGACGTATACACCGATACAGTTTCCCTTCGTACGTTTCGAGCTTAACCTCAAAATATTGCGGTACCTCTGCCAGCGGGTAGGTCAATTCAATCGATAGGAAAATACTTTTGTAACAATTCCTCGTATATGTCTTTGTCGCTTTTCAGGAATAGGCAAAAGATAACTCTATCCACCTGGAATTTCAAACGTGTGTGAATACTCGGGGCACGTTGAACGCGGGGCTATACGTCGCAAGGCTTACTGCGTCTTTGTTGTCGAGTAGGAACTTCTTGACCGTTGATATAGCTACTTTGGCAGCTGGTCTCTGGGGATATCCGTAAATTCCTGTCGATATGCAAGGGAAAGCGATCACGCGCGACTCGTTATCTTTAGCAACTGCCAGACTGTTTTCGTAACATTCCCTCAACTTTTCTGGCTTTTCCCCTTGTGGCCCGACCGTATGAATCACATCTAAAACATTACACCTGTGATAAAGCTACCCTCTCGTTTGCTACCCTCTGGTAAGGCATACTGACACTTTGCAGGCAACATGTAAGCCCCGGTTATTTTAGCTTCTCCGACGCGACATCCTCC